CACCAAATTTTACAGATACTATGACTAGACTTGAACCATATAAAATAATGTATCACCCAAATATGGACATGTGCATTACAGATGTTGCCTGCACTTAACATACTTTTTTATTCAAGGGTATAACTCACTTAGATGAGGGTCAATTTAATGTGCTAGTTAAGGATCCAGTTTAGAAACCAGGTTGCATCTTGTTATACAATACTATCTCTTTGACTAAGATCAGTTGTTGCACTTTCAAGACAATGCTGGATCCCACTTAGCATTCTCCATCAGTCAATAACTTTTGAAGGAGACAGCATCATGAACAGCACTGAGATTAGGACACCTTTTGCCATCATGATATCCCACAGATGGAACCTAATGTAAAAATGCTTGAGCGGTCACCTCTTCATCTACTGAGTCACTTCCATCAATAGATGATGAAATTGAGTGGATCACCAATCTTGTACACTATGAGCTCTGTGAAGCACTATTGTCTCCTTCTTCGCAAATACAGCTATAGCTACTATGTAATTACATATCTGCAAGAGGGAGCTAAAGGCCTTGGGAATGTACATCAACAGCTGGGAAACCTTGACCTCTGATCGTTCAGCTTGGAGGCTAAAGACACAGCATGGCCTTCTTCAATCTGAAGAGACACTCGCTTGGCAGGCTGAGGCAAAGAGGCAGTCCCGGAACCAGTGAAATGGGGGGGGGGGGGGCTGGACAGGAGACAGATTGTATCTGTCCTCAGTGTGGAAGGGATTGCAACTCTTCAATTAGCCTTTTTAGCCACACAAGATGCTGTTTTAGGACCTCTTTTCAGAGCACGATACCATAGTCTCTTGAGACTGATGGTTGCCAATGATTAATAATCTTCACAATATAACACTTCCCATAGTTTTGAGGAGGAAAAAGAAGAAGAATGTGCCATGCTTCCTTATTTGATCCTTATTTGGAGATGGCGCTGCTCATTTCACCAATAGAATGAAGGAACACTATTCTTTTATTCTTCATTCTTTTGTTCTAGTCATTTTTTTAAAAATAGAGTATATGCAGAAATACTAGTTATTCATTCCTTTTTGTTCATCTCTGCCTTATTCTATAGCCAAAATAAAATAATATATGAGAGCAAAAAATCTGAAGTAGTCAAAATACATTATCCTTATTTCTGCTTTTTACTTGCATATATGGTGAATTTTTGTTGATTTTTCAATCATTTTCTGGGGCTCTTATGCCTAACATTCCAATTTCAACAGTTCCATTATCTGCAGTTGAATGTTGAAATGTAACCCCCCATGAGTAACTGGATCTACCTGTATAACTTCACTTTGTTTGGATTTTCTTTGATACTTGATATTATTTTCTTTCCTTACAAAGTAAGAGATTTAAGTTTCACTCTGTCGAGGTTACAATGGGATTGTTTGTTACCTTTAACACATACACCAGCTGTATAGTATAGTTACTATCATGAGGAAGTATATAAATTGATGCAGATACATCAAAAGTAGACAGATTTGATAGAGTTAAGAACATATACAAATAGTATGGTGGCTTGGCAGAATACCCATACAGGTTTATGTAATTCTGTATTTATATAATTATTTCTATAACAATAAATTCCAAAGGTGCTTTTTTAAGGAAGCAACTGCACTTTCTTGTTTTTTCTTAGGATGTTTTGCTTCTCATCCAAGAAGCTTCTTCAGTTCTGACAGGATAGTGGGGAATGTTAGAGTTGAAGAAGCTTCTTGGATGAAAAAAACAAGAAAGTCCAGTTGCCTCCTAAAAAAAGCACCTTTGGGACAATTATGGCCTGGATGACTGAGACTACAGAGATATAACAATAAATGTTTTATATAGCACTACATTTTGTCCAGCTATCAAACATGTTGTGTACCACTAAACACTGTATTATGACAGATCATTTAATAAAAATGGCTAATGGGAAAAATTCTAACCTAATCCTAACTTACTGCATTTCCATGGTCAAATCACTGATCCCTCTATCGAAAGGACGGGTTAGCTTGGCAATGATTTATTCATGACTGACCCATGCTGACTCCTGTAAAGCAATGCATTATGTTCTAAATGCTCACAGACTGCTTAGCAATCTGTTTCAATTTTGCCCACTATCAGCATCATTCCAGAGTTGTAAAAAACAGCTGGAAAAAACTAAAGAAGCAAGAACATGGATTTCAGGACGGTATTATTAATGCTAGTCTGAGATAAATACAGAATCTTTAAAACTGTTAAAAATTCCCACCATAGTCTGTAGTAGGCTAATTAAAGGAAATGTATTTGAAATGCTTCATTCCCAAATCTTTTCCATTCAGACTGTGTTGCCTCTTCTTGGATAAATGAAATGTTTCACCCTGGTTTCTCATAAACTCTCACACCAGTCAGCTGGATCCTTTCTTCTAAAGGATCCTTACCCTTCTTCATTATACCCACTAACCATGAAAGGACTCTGGGACGACATCTATAAATATTTGAGGACTTGGGTATAATCAGTAGTAGCCAGCTTTTAACCATTTTTTTTTCTTATTTTGAGTTACCACTTTTTAAAAATTAATTGTAAGAAAGGGGCGGGTCCATTATTACTTCTCACTTCCTATTACTCATT